TGCTGGAGGCCCAGCTCTGCAGCAGCCCACCAGCAAGGCAGCCACGGAGCCAAGCAAACTGACAGGAAACCAGGGAGCTTCCTAATTGGAACTTTGCTGACACGGAAAAATTCCCACAAACATTTTGGTATTAATCAACATTTGCTGACTGAAAACACTCTATTGAGTTCAACCAGCTCTACCCAAGAGCAACTTGACAGGCATAACTCCTGAATTGTCACAGCTGAGGGGAAAAAATTATAATGTAGTGGTCCTTTTATGTGCCATGCCTTGTAGTCAAGTATTTAAATAAATGCCACAAATGGCCCCTCTCACGCTGCCAGCAGTGGAGCGAAGGCCCAGGGGATGCCGGCACATGCCTGACACCTCAGTGGGGGCTCCCGAAGCCCTTTCCCACGCCCCGTTCCTTCCCCCCTCGTTCGCGGCCCTTTCAGTGGCTGATGTTCATGTCGAACAAGTTCTGCAGCGGGGCTACCTCTGGTTTTTGGGGAAGAAGTGGCACTGGAACCCAGCATTGCCTTCAGAGAGCAGCGGCACGGAGAAGCAGGTGTGGCTGCTTCCCGCGGCGTGGAGCTGCCATGGTCCCAGTGTGGCTGCCGGGAACAGGGCCAGGGGAGCAGGGCCACGGGTGCAGGGCCACGGGAGCAGGGGAGCAGGGCCACGGGAGCAGGACCACGGGAGCAGGCTATGGGAGCAGGCTATGGGAGCAGGGCCACGGGAGCAGGCTATGGGAGCAGGGCCACGGGAGCAGGCTATGGGAGCAGGGCCACGGGAGCACTGCCGGTCCCGGCCCCGCACAGCATGTCCAGCCCCGCACAGCATCCCGGTCCCTCGCGTGTCCCGGGCACACCGCGGCTCCTTGGGCAGGGCGGCTCCCGGGCACCTTTGCCCCTCTGCCCGGCCGGTCCCCGCGTCCCACGGCCCCCGGCCCGCAGCTCCTGCGCGCTGCACCGCGGACCTCAGTACCTTCCTCCGTCCTCCCCCCGCGCTCCGGCCCGTCCCCACGGGCGGCCACGGCCCCGCACCGCCAGGCGCGCCCCAGCGACCAGCCGAGGTGGCGCCGGACGCACCCACCTGGACGTGCGGCGCAACCTTCCAGCGGCGCATCCTTCCTTCCAGCGGCGCATCCTTCCTTCCAGCGGCGCATCCTTCCTTCCAGCGGCGTATCCTTCCTTCCAGCGGCGTATCCTTCCTTCCAGCGGCGCATCCTTCTTTCCAGCGGCGCATCCTTCCTTCCAGCGGCGCACCTTCAGCGGGCGGGCCCTGCGGGGGCAGCGGCAGCTCCGGGGCCGGCCGGGCGTGCGGGATCTGCGGTGCGGGCCGAGAGGGGCGGAACGGGGCCCGAGGCGGGGCTGGGGCGGGGCAGACACGGGAGGGCACGGACGGGCGCGGGAGGACACGGACGGTGCCAGCTACCCCGGACCAGTGCGGAGGTCACCTTGCGAGGATGAAGGGCCTGAGCAGTTGGTGTAAAATTCTTAATGCTTCCCTGATGCTTTATTGCCCACATTGCAAAGATTACCATGTGAAGCGGTAGCCCCAAATAAGGGCCCCACGCTGGTAGGATGTCTCTGGAAATGAAAATTGCTTTAGACCTGGAAGGAAAACATGAACTGGGTGTATTTGCTGGATTCATCTTAAGCAGTGAGGTCGAGAAACAATTATTATGACAATTGAATCAAGGTAGGAAGAGTAGTTTCTTTGTACATGAGCTATCAGTTGAATCACTGAACCGTATGCTTTTATACAAAATACCTTCATTAATTATTTGTTTGAAGGAAAATTATGGAAATGGGGTTAATAAATAAATAGTTCACAAGCAGAGTCTGCAGATAGCATACACACCTAAGTGTAACTGAGAGCTGGGCTTTCTGCAGGATGAGCCAATTCGCAGCTTGTCTGGAGGGTGTTTGCTCCTGGCCAGAAATGTCTGTCCCCCTGGCCTGGGTCTCCTGCCCGAGGTGACAGCTGAGCACGGACGGAATGGGAGAGCACAAAGCTATTCCACGGAGCAGGCAGGGAGCCCGTGCTGTGCTCAGCTGCACAGAGCAGCCCTGGCACCCCCTTTAACCATCATTTGAATAATTCCAGTCTCTGGAACACAGACACAGCCTTTCTATATCCGATTTTTGTCAGCTATAGCCTGATTATTTTAAGGGGAAAAAAATTGCTCCACCTAAAGAATTAATGTATTCCTAGACTTATATCTAACAAAACTTGAACATGGCAAGTAACAATGTTAGATTGTGACAGTACCTCAGCCTATGTCAGGGTCCTGCCCAAATGACCTTCTGCATTAAGCAGTGTAATTTCTTTAGTAACTTCTATGCAATTCCTTTACCTTCACGTGGGCGGGGGAAATAATGTGAAGATGCTTGTGCCACAGGAGGAAGCTGTGCCATGAAGTTCAGACTCGCATGTAACAAAGTTTACCAGTCTTCTGTGGAAGCTTAGTTAAAGGAGGCTTTAGGTCTGCCTTGCAGAATACAGTACCAGGACTAATACACCGTTTTCAGGTCCAGCTGGGCTCATTTCCCGCTAGGTGGAATAAACCTCACTTCTTGAACTTGCTGTTCCTTTGGCTTACGTGAGCAGATCCGTTGCTACAGGCAATGCGTTCACAATGAGATCCTTAAAGAGGACTGAACCTTCTCCATGCCTTTTTAAATTTAACAATAAATTACTTGATTAAAGCATATTAAAAAACCAACCATTTGTGTCCCCTCCCACAAAAAAGAAACTAGGAATTGTTGAAGGTATCAGTGCTCCTTTTGCTTGCATCACACTGGGATTTTTCCTAAAATGCAGTTTTCTTACTGCAATGGCTGATACTTTGAAAGGAATGGCTGATAATTTACAAGAACTTATTAAATATATATCAAAAATACACAGAGTGAGAAATGCAACATATTTAATTTAGAATTCTTTGTTCTGGGACTGTTAGCTGTTCTTAAGTAGACATACTCCACCAGGCCAAACACTTGCAGACCAGTATTTGCTAGAGTTCTGCTGCACATTTTCTCCTTCAAACATTCTTTTCTTTCTGTTTTTCATTTTCCATTAACAACAACAAAAGGCCCTGAGGAATTCTAATTTCTTTCTATGGCTAATGATTTCAAGATTATTTTCTGTGCCATGTACTATACTATACCAATATATATTGCCACCATTTAGTGATTACTTTAGTAATCTAATTCATTAATTTGCAATGCAGATCACAATTGATCTTGAGTGTATGTCTGCATACTAAATAGTTCCATAAAAAGTAAATAGTAATTTCTATGAGATAATTTTATGTTTAGGTTAATATATAGTGGATAAGCAAAAAAAGTTATTAACGTATCACTAAGTAGACCAGGAAGAGTCCATAAAAACAAAATCAGTAGTTAAATATGAAGCCACTTCCTAATTAAAACTAATTAATCTTTTTCAATAACACAATGACACACTTTCTTCTCATAAGAAAACAATACCCCATGAAGCCTGAAATGAAATAGATTATTCTTTGGTTGTTTGCTGGACAGAGGTCAATAATACCTCAGGGCAAACACAGTCTTTAGCAAATTTCTTAAAGAATTTCAAATTGAAAAGAAAAATCTTTCTGATAGTAAAAAAGAGCACAAATAGTGCATTAAAAGAAGAACTTGTGAGGCAGTGTAATGTATTGAAAATCCTACGGCATGTGTGTGCAGGGCCCTTGGAGCCTCCCTGTACCTGGGAATCCAGCTGGTGCCCACCTCAGTGTGTGCAGGGATCACTGCACAGCACCTATCTCAGCCCAAGGAGCCTGCCCATACCAAGGCTTTCCCTGCAGATACCTGAGCTTCTGCTGCCTTAATCCTGAAAATGTTCAGGAATTTGCTGCTGTGCGTCTGCCCTCAGCCAGTGGGAACCAGAGGTGTAAGCGCAGGCTTGGTGCTTTCCTTTACCCATTAACTCAGAGCCAGTCTTCATGTAATTAGTTAATAAAAGCAATTAAAAAAATTTCTCAGGGTGCTCACTCAGCCCTTGGAAGTGCTGTGATTTTGACTCCATCTCTACTGCTGTCTGGTTCATGGATCAATCTGAACAAAGTTCCTGTGTTCCCGTGGATTGCCGCCCTTTCAGCAGCCTGGCAATGCTGATGGCTCTGGCATAGGGGCAACTTGTTCACAGCCCCAGACAAAGGACAGGTCCTGGCTCTGGGGTGCAGCCCCTGTGTGTTTGAAGGATATGCATCGAGCTACAGAGCAGCTGCTGCCTTCACACTGCAGGAATGCTCACCAACCAGCATCTGTTCAGGGGGAACCTCATGATCCCAAACCCTGAACTGCTCCCAGGCTGCTGGGAGGGAGCCACTGCTGTGGGGAGCGGTGCAGGAGCTGCTACAAGAAGGAGCCCAAAGGTGTGCTCAGAGGTTTGAATGCACAAGGAATCTTTTCTGGCTAGGAGTATAGACTGTAAAACAGCACTTACTGGCTTTAGACTGTGATTGCTTCATGGATCTGTTAACAGTAAACAAAATCATCCCCCAAAAGACAGACAATTTAACTTTGATGAGACATGGAAAATTTCAGATGAGAAGGAAAATCCTGCTGAAACTTATGAGAAAACATGTACTAAGGAGATTAAAGACTGTTTTGCAGCTGCCATACTTACTTAGGTTTATTGCCATGTGAACAATCTCTTGATATTTCTTAGTATTTTACAGAAAAAAAGAAAATTGATACACAGTAAAAATTTTGTTTAACTATTGGCCTTTTTGCTAGACAAATTAGAATGTGTGAAAGAAATTATAAGACAATTTAAAAATTAATATAAAATTGGATCCCTTTGGCATACTTAGAAAGGTAAATGCTGAAGGACTTTATTTAATAGTCTAAATATATGGTGTTACAACTGTTTTTATTTCTGGTGAGTAGCATAATACATTTCACCCAAAGCTGCATTTCAGGAAGGTGGATATGTAGACGTATGTTAACAGAAGAGCCACTTACAGTACAGAGACTACTGGTAAATATAACTGTGTGAAAGGATTTGGACAAGAGATGTATAAAAATTATTATTCAGAGTTGTTTCCATTATTGTAATCCCCGGATTCATATTCTTCATCATCTTCCTCATCAGAATTGTCAAAATACTCCTCGTATTCAATGCTGTAGCTTGCGCTTCTACTGCCAGCAGTAAGTGCAAATGCAGGAGATGGGTCTGCAAGATGTAATTGAACCCAGATCAAATTAGTTGAAGATAAGAACACAGAGGAAGGTATGGGTTTGGATTTGTACAGCAAACTAAGGGTTTCTTAATCCTTGTTATCTAAGAAAAGGACAGGGGTTTTAGACAATGGCTTAACCTCATACCACTGAAGGTCACGAGCAAATTTCTATATAGAATCATGGAATCCCAGAATAGGTTTGTTTGAAATGGATCTTAGAGCTCATCTTGTTCCACCCCCTGCTATGAGCAGGGACATTTCTACTATCCTATAGCTTGCTCCAAGCCCTGAAGTGTCCATCCCTGTCTTGGGATGGACAGCTTCTTTGAAAAACCTGTGCCAGTGTTTCACCATGCTCTGAGTAAAGAATTTCTTCCTAACATCTGATCTAAATCTCTCCTATTTAAGTTTAAAACTATTCTCCCTTGTCTAACCTCTGTCTGCCTGTATAAAAAGTCTCTCTCCCTTCTTCTAGTACTCCCCCGTTAGGGACTGGAAGAGCTCTGGGATCTCCCCAGAGCCTTCTCCTCCCCAGGCTTAGCACAGCAGCTTGCTCAGCCTGTCTCCGGAGCAGAGGTGCTCCAGCACCTGGAGATCTCCATGGCTTCCTCTGGACCCACTCTAACAGGTCCATGTCTCTCCTGTGCTGAGGATATGTTGAAAATGCATTTAATTCCTCATAATAGTAAACTATGATATCAGTCCTCTGCAGCTCCTGTGCATCTGCAAATATTCCCAGAGAAAATAAAGCTTTGAAAGCCACTTGTAGAAACTGCATGGCTGACAAACTCCCCTAGACCAGGAGATAAATATGACAGTGCATATTTATCCTGAATTTGCCAGGAAAAACAGTTCTTTGTAGAGGAGGAAGGTTATTATTCTGCAGGGCTGGGCCCAAAGCAAATCAATAGCAAAGCTATTTCTTGCATCTTTCAAACCACTCTCATTAAGGAACAACTGTTTCCTTCCTACTTTTATGAAAAATAAACAGCTAAGCAGACCTGCCATGATTCAAAGACTCCCTCAGTTACACCAGCTGTTGTTCTGGGTCCTGCTAACATCAAAAGAATTCTCTGGGATAAGGACTGTGGAATAATGTGTCTCAGCTGTATGGCTCCAATCCACAGCTTTCTGTTTTCTGGAAGCTGGTATAATTTGCAGCAAAGCATTACTATATAAACCCATTAGGAGATAAAGTGAAATAAAAGCACACAGAAGAGTGAAAATATGGGCAGCTTTGGGTAATTTCTCTTATGTTTCATTAGCATTCCAACAACCCCATCCTTTGCATTCTGCTTGTATGCATTTTTATATTTTTTACATTTATCCAAATAAAAAAGAATTACCATCAATGACTTTCAATCTTGCAGAGGCATACGTTGCACCATGTTTATTTTTGGTGTGGCAAATATAAATGCCTTCATCTGATTTTTTCAGGCCCTGAATCTGCAGCCAGCCTGTCACACCATTCTTCTGAGGCCCACCTCTTGCCTTTAAGAAGGAAAGAAATGATTGAAATTAAGCTGAAAAAAAGACAAGTTTTATGGATTGACCATAACATTTCATGGGAAACTTTCACACTTCATGACAGTTTCATCTGGCTTGGACTAAAGCCTCATAAAGAGGCCTAAGTGGTACCCTGGCTGATCCTTCTGCTGCCAAGCACTGACAGAAATCGTCACTCTTTGCATAACCACAGGGCCCCTGTTGGGAGTCTGTTTATTGCAACAGTATTGTGTTCTGTAGGAGGAATTCACAGATTACCCACCATGCATTCCCTGCAGTCCCCAGACTGCATGCAATGGTAAATTCAAGTTTTACCTGAACTGAGACGTGGGTGTCATCTCCTGGCAGAAACATTTTATTCCCCTTTTTTTTCCATTCAAGCTGTGGCATAGGATAGGCCGACACCTCACAGCCAAAAATGACATCATTTCCAGTGTAATTCTGGGCATCCTGAGGTGGTGTAGAAATAACAGGAGCTGCAAAGAACCGACAGGGTGCTTTAGGAGATAGTGAACAAAGAACACAAACACAAAAGGTTTGTTAACACTAATCCCTGCTTCACAGGATACCATCAGATTGTGTAGCCTTTTTGCTCTCACATACTGTGAAGAGCCACGTGATTCCAAACATCTTTTAAAGCTCAAAAACCTTGTGTCTGTGTTTTCTAAAAACACTTACTCGGGTCTATTCTTCCCCTTGCAGCTGATCGTGGATCCTGAGCTGGAATCGAGGGCTCAATTTTGCCCCATGAGCTGTCATGTGCCAGGCTCACCCCCTGCAGAAGAGCCACCAGTACCCGTCCTGGGCTTCAGAGGAAAGCACAGGAAATTCTGCAGTCCAGAGCGATTTGATTGTGTGATAGCTTTGAATGTGTTGTATTTGGGTTAGCTGAAAGCCAAAATGCTGCTATTGCTGGCTTTTTCTGAGTTCATCATTGCCTTGAAGTCGCTTAACATTGTCGAGCACTGTTACCCGTGGAAGTCAGAAGTTACAACAGCATTAATGCATTCATCTTTATTGCTATAGATGTCATCCAATATTCCCATTAGGAATGAAAAGCATTGAAGTTCAATTATTTCTGTAAGGTTTCACGTTACGTTTATCACACTGCTACATTTTCACTTACTTGTTCCCTCATGCTCTCGTACTGTCACCCCCTCCAGTACCGATTGCCTCGGAATTCTCCTTTGTCCCTTTTCCCGAAGCAAAAGCCGTCGGCAGCCACGAGAGGGAGCGTGTGGGGCCTGGCGGCGGCAGAGCCAGCCTTGAGCCAGCCTGGAGCCAGCCCTGAGCCTGCCTTGAGCCAGCCCTGAGCCAGCCTTGAGCCAGCCTGGAGCCAGCCCTGAGCCTGCCTTGAGCCAGCCTTGAGCCAGCCTTGAGCCAGCCTTGAGCCAGCCTTGAGCCAGCCTTGAGCCTGCCTTGAGCCAGCCTTGAGCCAGCCCTGAGCCTGCCTTGAGCCAGTCTTGAGCCTGCCTTGAGCCAGCCTTGAGCCTGCCTTGAGCCAGCCCGGAGCCAGCCTTGAGCCAGCCTTAAGCCAGCCTTGAGCCAGCCTTGAGCCAGCCTTAAGCCAGCCCTGAGCCCCGGAGCCCCCGCGCCAGCCGGGCCGGCTCCGGCAGCGGAGAACGCGGCGCGTTACTGCCAGCACAGACTGTTGCTGAATGAATATTCATTCATTCCTGCGCTGGACATCCCTGCCTTTGTTTCCCTGATCTGTTTGTCAACAGCAAGAAATGTTTTGCCGTCTAAAACCTGTTTTCTATTTCCAGACCAGTGCTCAAAAAGGAATGCATTTTCTGGGTGATTTGGCTTGTATTGAATTTCACCACACACGCCCACC